GGGGAAAGTGGCGGGATCGCTGCTCGGCGTGGCGGACTGGCAGACGCGGCAGGAAACCGCCAGCGTTTCTGTTCAGCGTGGCTCGGAAGAAAGCGACCTGCAAGGCGTCGCACTTCGTGGGCAAGGCGTCGGATTGCTTGGCCGTGCCCCCTTTGATTCGTCATTGGGTGCACACAGAGCTGCGCCCCAGCGGCATGGCGAACGCTGCGGCGCGGTCGTTCAAGGCGAGGGCGAAGTTGCTCGAATTGCACATGCAGGGCAAAAGGACATGCGGCCGCAGCTGAAACGCAAACGCCGGCCTGCGCGTTCGAGGATGCACCGCGTCGGCCCGCGCGCATCCTCGAGCGCTTAGGTGGCAGGCGGTTCGGCTACGTCCTGGGGATCGGCGCCGTGCCGAATTTGATAGCTGTCTGGGACAAGGCCGTTTCGATTTCCTTGGCGCTGCACCAGGCCGCGCACGGGCCAGCCCTGATCAAGCCGAAGCACCATTATTTGTGGCACGTCCCCGACCAGCCTGCGGAGGACGGCATCTGGTTGGACGCCTTCGTGCTCGAGCGGAAGCACAACCTGCTTCGGCCCAGGTCGCAGGAGATCGGCAACCCTGCGAATTTCGAGCTGTCGGCCTTGACGGCGATGCTCGCCTGCTTCCTGGAGGAAGCGAAGGAGGCGCCGCGCTCCCGCGCCAAAGCGTGGCGCACGCCAGAGCTGGACAGTGCGTTCGGGCACTCGGGGCGCAACCTTGCATGCCCTTTTGTGGAGGAAGACGGGCTGGGAGAGGGGAAGGCGGTTTGCCGCCAAGGTGGCTTGCCGTCAGGAGGAGGAGGAGGAGGAGGAGGAGGAGGAGGAGGAGGAACCCCTTCCGCAGGGCTGAAACGTGGACCAGCTGAGAGGCGTCGATCGACGGCCAGATGCACGGCAGCCAGGACAGACGGCGCAACCAACCTTGGTATTTAGGGGTGCGCATGCGTGTGCCCCCCAAAAGTCGAGGCGCTGCTGCCCTCAGGATTTTCTCCTGGGCGACGGCGAGGCGTACATCGTGCATTGCTGCGCGCAGGCTGGCGCCGCCAGCTACCTGCTGGTGGAGACCCTGGAATGGGCGCGCGCGCCATGCCCAGGCGCGCCCCTGCGGCGGCCGCGCGGCGACGTAGCCGTGATGCCCGCCGAGCTGATCCCGCCAGCCTGGGCGGCTTATCGGCGACTACAGGACGATGGCCATGTGCTCGCCATCACGTGAAAAGGAAAAAACGCGCGCATGCGAGAGCGGATATGCCGCTGGCGGACATGCCGCCCTTCGATAGAGAGGCGCAGGGGGGAGGGGCGGATATGCCGCCGAAGAAGGAAGGCGGGCTCGGGGAGGGAAGGCGGCAGGAGGGAGCGGGGGCGGGCTGGCCGCCGACAGCGAGGGGGGGAGAGGGGAGGCGGTGATGGCCGCCGAGGGGAGGCAGTTTGAAGAATAGTTGATCCCCCCCCTCCCCCCCTCCCCCCTTCCCCTCCGCGCCCCGCAGGCGTCCTGAAGGCGGCTCGGCGCGTCGACCTGCGGCGCCTTGTCCTAAACGCTTTTTGTTGTTTTTTTCCCGAAACATAGCAATATCAAGAACAAACATGAAAAAAATGCAAATTTCAGGTTAACCGAATCGGACAGCCCACATCGACTTAGCTGACTTAGCTACTAAGTTGGAAGCCCCCCCCCGCGGGACGCTACCAAAACGCCACGGAGTCCCCAAGGCCCCAGGTGTCACACGTGACGGCTTCCCGAGTCCCCTCGCACACTCGCAATCGAGAGTGCTGGGCTGACACGGTGGCGGGACTTGACGCAAGCACCTCCTCCTCCTCCCCCTCCTCCTCCTCCAGCTCATCGCCATCGTATTCCTCATTCGTTTTCCTCCTCGAAGTCTGCGCGCCCATAAACGGGCGAGTCGGGACAGGCGGGCGGGCCCTAAAGGGCAGTCGAGCGAATTGGGCGGGCGGCCCGTAACGGGCGGGTCGGGCGGGGCCCTGAAGTGGGGGGGGCATCGTCGACTGGCACGCGCGCATCCTGACATGTGGGTCGTGTCGGGCGGGAGGACCCTAACGGGCGGGCGGGTCGAGCGGGCGGAACCTCGTCGTCGTCCTCGTCCTCTTCTTCCTCCGCGTCCTCATCCCCCTCCTCCTCCTCCACCTTTTCCTCCTCCTCTTCGATCCTCCTCCTCCTCATCTGTATCCTCCTCCTCCTCCTCGATCCTCCTCCTCCTCCTCCTCCTCCTCCTCCTCCTCCTCCTCCTCCTCCTCCTCCTCCTCATCTGTATCCTCCTCCTCCTCCTCCTCCTCCTCCTCCTGGTGAAATGTTCTACTCCCCCCTGACGCGCCAGGCCCGCGGAGCGCGCCGGGCCCCGGTCCACGCGGGGAGGGGCGGAACGGGGGGGAGGAAGAAGGATGGAGAAGACGTAGGAAGGGAGGAAATGCGATTTTTCACCCGGGGGCGCTGGGGCACCAGGAAGCGCGGCGTTTACAGGACACCGCTGCTACGTGGACCGGGCGTTAAGTGCAAATTAAAATAGTCCCAAGCTGAGTCGGGGGATCAACAAGGAGAATCGGATGAAGGGACGACGTCAAAGGAGGAGGATGTTGAAGAAGAAGAAACACGAGGGCAAGGATGATAAGGATGACACGCGGCACGAGAATGACAAACCAACGGTCGGCGAACACCAGCGCCGCTACACCAGCAATTGGCCGAGGGCGCGCCGCTGGATCTCCCCCAGGGGGGGGGGGGACCCCCCCCCCCCCTTTCCTCGATCCGTCGTCGGGGAAACCACACATCCCCCCCCCTCTTTCCTGGTCCGTCGTCGGATCCCTCCCCCCCCCCTCCCCCCCTTTTGAAAAGGGGGGGGGGGTCCGGACCCCCCCATCCCCCTTTGGCCGCCCCCCCATCCCCCTTCCCCCACTTTCTCCACGCCGCCCCCTGACTCCGAAACCCGACCCCCGCCACCCCTAACCCTAGTCCTCACCGTAGCCCAAACCCCTGACCCTAACCTCTAACCCCAGCCCCAAAGAGCACTCACTACGCATTACTCACTACTCACTACCCACTACTGACTTCTCGCTACTCACTACTCATGTCTCACTACACACGACTCACTACTCACTATCCACTATTTACTACCCACTACCCACTACTCGCTACTCACTACTCCGTACTCACTACTCCCTCCTCCCGACTCACTACTCACTACTCACTCCTCACTACCCACTACTCAATACACACTATTCACTAATCGCTACTCACTACTCCCTACTCACTACTCACTGATCACTCCGCATTACCCACTAACCACTATCCACTACTCACTACTCACTATTCATTGCCCACAACTCACCACTCACTACCCATTACTCCCTACTCGCTACACCCTACTCCCTACACAGTACTGACTACACAGTACTTAGTACTCACTACTCGCTACCCCCATACTCGCTATCCAATACTCGCTGCTCACTCCCCGCTACTACTCACTACTCACTAGTCACTAGTCTATAGTCACTAGTCACTAGTCACTACTCACTACCCACTACCCACTACTCACTAATCGCTATTCACGACCCACTAGTCGCTACCCACTTCTTACTACTCACTGCTCACTACCCCCTACTCCCTACCCCCTACTCCCTACTCACTACTCAATACCAACTACTCACTACTCGCGACTACCTACTCATTACTCGCTGCTCACTGCCCACTACTCAAAACTGACTACTCCCTGCTCACTACTTACTACTCACTACGCACTACTCGCTCCTCACTACTCACTACTCGCTACCCCCTTTTCGCTACTCACTACTCACTACCTAGTGCCCACTACCCACTACTATTCATCACTAATCACTACTCACTACTCACTACGCACTAGTCACTACTCACTACCCAGTGCTGACTACTCACTACTCACTACTCACTACGAGCTACTCTCTACTCACTACTCACTCCTGACTCCTCACTCCCCACTGCTCACTACTCACTATTCACTACTCACTACTCACTACTCACTACGCACTACGCACTACACTCACTACGCAGTAATCATTACTCGCCACCCACTACTCAGTACCCACTACTCACTACCCACTACTCATTACTCCCTACTCCCTACGCAGTACTCACTACTCGCTACTCGCTACTCACTACTCACTACTCACTACTCGCTACGCACTACTCACTTATCAGTAGACACTACTCACTATTCACTACTCACTACTCCCCACTCCCTACTCCCTACTCGCCACTCGCTACCCACTACTCACTACCCAATACTGACTACTCACTACGCACTAACTCACTACTCACTACTCACTACTCCCTACTCACTCCCACCTCCACACTCCCTACACACCTTCTCTGGCGCAGAAAAGAAAAGCGAGAGAGGCCCCCATCCCCGGTTCCCTTTCCAGGGAAGGGGGTGCGGTCCGAACCCCCCCCCTTTCCGCGCCAAGGGGGGGAGGGGGGGGGATCCAAACCCCCCCCCCCTGTGCCGGTGCTGGCGCCGGTGCCGGTACCATGCCGGTGCATGGTGCGGGTGCGGGTGCCGGTGCTGGTGCTGGTGCTGGCGCTGGTGCCGGTGCCGGTGCCAGTGCCGGTGCTGGTGCCGGTGCCGGTGCCGGTGCCGGTGCCAAAGCCGGTGCCGGTGCCGGTGCCGGTGCCGGCGCCGGTGCCGGTGCCGGTGGGCGAGAATCGCTCTATAGTGGCAGCCACGGAAGGAACATCGAGCTCCTTCCGAACCCAAACTGTTTGAAGGGGCCCTGCGCACACAAATAAATAGACACAAGTAACAACATTCCCCATATTCTCCCATATGTTCTGGTTTATTTCATCCCCCCACTTCCCATATTTTCCCATATTTTCCTGGGAGTCGACGATCAATTGTGTCTGTGTTTTTTCCCCTCCTGACTGTTGCTTCCTTCAGCGTCTTGGCTGTACCCCCTCTGCGCGTGGCCGATCCTGGTGTACCAACAGTCCCCGCGCACGGGGCCCTGAGAGGGCGCAAACGGCGGCGAACCTGATGCCCTGGTCCGGCTCCCCGGCCAGCTGCCCCACCGCGCCGGCCTGCCCCTCGGCGCCCACCTCGGCTACAGTTACGCAGGAGCGCCCCAAAGATTCCTGTCAACACGTACTTCCTCTAAGGCGACTGCAAACACGGAGGATTTGCTCATTCAACCCATCGTTTCAGGTTCCACCCTGGACTGATATTGTGGCTCTGATACCACTGCGGAGCAATAGCTGCACAACTGCTGGGTAAACTAGCCGAGAGATGTAAGGGCCTCACCCCCGCAGAGAGAGAGAGAGAGAGGGAGAACTTTTTCAGAAGAATTGAAGCTGGGCTTTTGCCTAAAGCACTCAGCAAAGCTGAGAAAGCCAAGAGACAAAGCAACCGATTCTAGGTTGCGGCGGAGGTGGATTCATATCGCTACGCGATCAGGCAGAGTCTCCAGAGCCTCACCCTCCCTCCTGCCTCCTCGAGGTAAAGCTCACAAGCCGTTAAACACGTTAAACAGAACGAGATCGCACGGAGCGTCCTGGACACCGAGCCTCGGGACGGTCAACAAACGGCTCGGGATGCAAACTCGGCCCGGGGTAAAAGGTTGGGACTTCTGGGGACCCCGCGTTGAAACAAGTATCTTGGCGAGGGGCCCAAACATATGCGGGCGTGATTACCGCAAGGCAGGTGGACGAAGGACCGGGAGGTCCCTGTGAGGCCAACAGCGTGTGATGGGTGTGCCCAAATTGAGCTGTACCGCCGTGCGGGCGCTGGCTGGCTGGAGCCGTTGGTGGAGCTCCCTGTGGAGCCACGAAGCTTGTGAGAGGTGTGCCGAAATGAGGCGGCGCCGCCATACCATCCCTGGCATTTGGGCCTTAGATTGGGCTCCCTATCGGGGTCACGAAGCGTGTGAGGGGTGTGTCGAAACGAGGCGACGCCGCCACGCGAACGCTGGCATTTGGGCCGTAGCTAGAGCTTCCCGTGAGGCTACGAAGGGCGTGAGGGGTGTGCCAAAGTGAGGCGGCGCCACCATGCGACCGCTGGCATTGGAGCCGCAGCTGGGGCTCCCTGGGGCGCCACGACAGGGAGGGAAGGAGGGGGGAGGGGGAGGAGGAGAGGGCTCCTCCTCCTCCTCCTCCTCCTCCTCCTCCTCCTCCTCCGGGAAGAGGAGAGGAAGGAGACGCGGGGCGCTGTCTCTTCAAAAGGAGGACCCAACACCGCAGGATGGTTGGGAATCAAGAGGTCGCATGCCTGGGTCTAGAGCACGGCTCCATGGGCCGCAGGGGCAAGCCAACTGCAAGCGCGCAGGCCAGTGTAAGTGCCGTGCAAAGGTCACTCTGGCGAAATGTCACTCCCCAGACGTCCGTCGATCTTCTTCTCCAGGGGCAAATGGTCCCGGGGCCTGGGTAACGAGCCCCGGAGGTCGCAATCGAGGAAGGACGCCCACATTGAAAATCATCTCGGCGAAAGGCCCAACCATATGATATGCAATTCTGACTGCCGTGTTGCGGACCGCTTTCGGTGGAGCTCCCCATGGGGCCACGTACCATGTGACTGGTGCGCCAAAAGGGGGCGGCGCCGCCATGCGAACTTTGCCTCTGGGGCCTTCGGTGAAGCTCCCCATGGGGCCACGAACCGTGTGAGGGGCGCGCCAGAAGAGGGCGGCGCCGCCATGCGAACTTTGCCACGGGAGCCTTCAGTGGAGCTCCCCATGGGGCCACGAACCGTGTGAGGGGCGCGCCAGAAGGGGGCGGCGCCGCCATGTGAGCTTCGCCACGAACCATGTGAGCGGAGGTTAGGTCTGGCGAAGGACCAGGTGTGAATACAGTCGTTGTTCGTATCGCCTTCGGTGGAGCTCCCTATAGGGTCACGACGCATGTGAAGGGTGTGCCGAACTGGGGCGGGAGCACCATGCGGGCGCTGCTACTGGGGCCTGCTGTAGACCCCCCTTTGATGGGGCACCGTAATGTGTGAGGGGTGCCAAAATAGGGCGGCGCCGCCATGCGGACTGCGCCACTGGGACCTCGGGTGGAACTCCCTATGGGGCCACGGAACGTGTGAAAGGCATGCCAAGATGGGGCACCGCCGCTATGCGGACTGCGCCACTGGGACCTTAGGTGGAGCTCCCTATGGGGCCACGAAACGTGTGAGGGGTGTGCCAAAATCGTGCGGCGCCGCCATGCGGACTGCGCCACTGGGACCTTAGGTGGAGCTCCTGATGGGGCCACGAACCGTGTGAGGGGTGTGCCAAAACGGGGCGGCGGCGGCGCCATGCGGACTGCGCCAATGGGACCTTAGGTGGAGCTCCCTATGGGGCCACGAGACGTGTGAGGGGTGTGCCAAAATGGGGCGGCGGCGCCATGCGGACTGCGCCACTGGGACCTTAGGTGGAGCTCCCTATGGTGCCACGAAGCGCGTGAGGGGTGTGACAAGACGGTGCGCCGCCGCCATGCTGACTGCGCCACTGGGACCTTAGGTGGAGCTCCCTATGGGGCCACGACGCATGTGAAGGGTGTGCCAAAACGGAGCGGCGCCGCCGCGATGCGGACTGAGCCGCTGGGACTTCGGTGGGGCTCACTGTGGGGCCACGAACGTGCGAAGGGTGTGCCACGATGGGACGGCGGCGCCATGCGGACTGCGCCAATGGGACCTTAGGTGGAGCTCCCTATGGGGCCACGAAACATGTGAGGGGTGTGCCAAAATAGGGCGGCGTCGCTATTCGGACTGCGCCACTGGGACCCCGGGTGGAGCTCCCTATGGGGCCACGAAACGTGTGAGAGGTGTGTCAAGATGGGACGGCGCCGCCACCATGCGGACTGCACCACTGGGACCTTAGGTGGAGCTCCCTGTGGGGCCACGAAACGTGTGAGGGGTGTGCCAAGAGGGAGGGAGGGAGGGAGGGAGGAGGGGGAGGAGGAGGAGGAGAGGAGAGGAGAGGAGGAACGCGGGGACCATCTCTTAAAAACGAGGACCCAACCATATGCAGTTGTGAATGCCGTCGTTGATAATACAGCGGACTGTGAATCTCCGTATGGTGCCTCGAAGCGCGCGAAAAGTGTGCCGAACTGGGGCGGGGCCGCCATGCGGGCGCTGCTGATGTAGAGCACCGTTTTTTGAGGCCACGAAGCGTGTGAGGGGTGTGCCAAACTGGGGCGCCGCCGCCATGCGGACTGCGCCACTGGGACCTTAGGTGGAGCTCCCTATGGGGCCACGAAACGCGTGAGGGGTGTGCCAAAATCGTGCGGCGCCGCCATGCGGACTGCGCCACTGGGACCTTAGGTGGAGCTCCTGATGGGGCCACGAACCGTGTGAGGGGTGTGCCAAAACGGGGCGGCGGCGGCGCCATGCGGACTGCGCCAATGGGACCTTAGGTGGAGCTCCCTATGGGGCCACGAGACGTGTGAGGGGTGTGCCAAAATGGGGCGGCGGCGCCATGCGGACTGCGCCACTGGGACCTTAGGTGGAGCTCCCTATGGTGCCACGAAGCGCGTGAGGGGTGTGACAAGACGGTGCGCCGCCGCCATGCTGACTGCGCCACTGGGACCTTAGGTGGAGCTCCCTATGGGGCCACGACGCATGTGAAGGGTGTGCCAAAACGGAGCGGCGCCGCCGCGATGCGGACTGAGCCGCTGGGACTTCGGTGGGGCTCACTGTGGGGCCACGAACGTGCGAAGGGTGTGCCACGATGGGACGGCGGCGCCATGCGGACTGCGCCAATGGGACCTTAGGTGGAGCTCCTTATGGGGCCACGAAACATGTGAGGGGTGTGCCAAAACAGGGCGGCGTCGCTATTCGGACTGCGCCACTGGGACCTCGGGTGGAGCTCCCTATGGGGCCACGAAACGTGTGAGAGGTGTGTCAAGATGGGACGGCGCCGCCACCATGCGGACTGCACCACTGGGACCTTAGGTGGAGCTCCCTGTGGGGCCACGAAACGTGTGAGGGGTGTGCCAAGAGGGAGGGAGGGAGGGAGGGAGGAGGGGGAGGAGGAGGAGGAGGAGGAGAGGAGAGGAGAGGAGGAGCGCGGGGAGCATCTCTTAAAAACGAGGACCCAACCATATGCAGTTGTGAATGCCGTCGTTGATAATATCGCGGACTGTGAATCTCCGTATGGGGCCTCGAAGCGCGCGAAAAGTGTGCCGAACTGGGGCGGGTCCGCCATGCGGGCGCTGCTGATGTAGAGCACCCTTTTTTGAGGCCACGAAACGTGTGAGGGGTGTGCCAAACTGGGGCGCCGCCGCCATGCGGACTGCGCCACTGGGACCTTAGGTGGAGCTCCCTATGGGGCCACGAAGCATGTGAGGGGTGTGCCAAAATAGGGCGGCGCCGCCATGCGGACTACGCCACAGGGACCTTCGGTGGAACTCCCTATGGGGCAACGAAACGCGTGAGGGGTGTGCCAAAACAGGGAGGCGCCGCCATGCGGACTACGCCTCTGGGACCTTCGGTGGAACTCCCTATGGTGCCACGAAACATGTGAGGGGTGTGTGAAAATAAGGCGGCGCCGCCATGCGGACTGCACCATCGGGACCTTAGGTGGATCTCCCCATGGGGCCACGAGACGTGTGAGGGGTGTACCAAAATGGGGCGGCGCCGCCATGCGGACTGCGCCACTGGGACCCTCGGTGGAACTCCCTATGGGACCACGAAACGTATGAGGGGTGTGTCAAAGTGGGGCGGCGCCGCCATGCGGACTGCGCCACTGGGACGTGGAGCTCCCCATGGTGCCACGAAACGCGTGAAGGGTGTACCAAGTGGTGCGACGCCGCCATGCGGACTCCGCCACTGGGACCTTAGGTGGAGCTCCCTATGGGGCCACGAAGCGTGTGGGGTGTGTGACGAAGACGATGATTGGGAGAGGAGGGAGGAGGGGGAGGAGGAGGAGAGGAGGGACGCGCGGCGCTGTCTTTTCAAAACGAGGACCCAACACCACAGGAGGGTGGGGAAATACGAAGAAAATCAGTCCACACATTATTTTTTGACTATTTGTGAATACTCCTCCTGTAGAGGGACAGGCCCGACTTACGGGTGGTGGGATGGTGGGGATCGGGATGCGGATTGGGATGCAACAGAGGCCAGTCTACAAGAAACCTTCCGCAAGAAACCCAACCCTGAGACCCCAGGACGTCCATGGACTTTTGGCGTGGAACGTCACGCTTCCCATCGCAAAACCATCGAAACCCAAGAAACCCAGGGCACCCTGGAGGCAAGCAGGGTGTCTCTTGGCACGGGTCCCCACTGTAGGGATGGGGATCGGTCCAACCACACTTAGCGTAGCCGCCCACCTCTCCCAGCGCCTGGATGGCGGCCAGCCGCGCCGCGCGGTCCGCATCCGCGGCGGCGCGCTCCGCGAGGGCGGCGGCGTGGTGGAGGCCGGCCGGGCCAGTCCTGCCCAGCGCCAGCAGCGCGGCGCGCCGAACCTCGGGCGACGCGTCCCGCAGCAGCCCCGCCGCGCAGCTCGCGGTCGCCTCCCCGCCGACCTGCGCGAGCACCTCCGCGGCGTAGTGCCGGATGGCCTCGTCCTTGTCCCGGAAGAAGGCGGCCAGGTGCGGCACCTTTGGAGGCAACTCACGAGTGCCTCCCACACCGCCTTGTTGGACCCTGCGAGACGACGCTAGTCGACGCTGAATCGCGCTAAATCGACGCTCAACCGGCGCTTCCTCGACGCTGAATCGACGCTCAACAGGCGCTTCCTCGACGCTGAATCGCGCTAAATCGACGCTGAATCGACGCTCAACCGGCGCTTCCTCATCGACGCTGAATCGGCACTCGAGAGACGGAGAACTGCGAGGACGAACGTGGCTCCCACGACTTGCTTCCCTACGGCACCCCAGGGCCGCCCGCCCTGCCGAGGGCCTGGACCGCGGCCCGCCGGACCTTGGCCTCGCCCTCGGCGCTGGCCGCCGCCGCCAGCCTCGCCAGGTGCTCCTCGGTGCAGCTGCCGCCGATCTCGCCCGAGGCCTGGCAGGCGGCGAGGCGCACGCCAGCGTCCGGGTGCGCCAGCTGCGCCGCGATCAGCCCGGCGTGGTCCAGTCGCGCCTGCGCGGCGCGGCCAAGCCCGAGCAGCGCGACGCGGACGGCGGGCGGCGAGGAGCTCTGGACGAAGGCTGCCAGGCGCTGGGCCTCTCCGAGGGCGCTCAGGCACTCCGCGCCCGACAGCTGGGCGTCCTCGTGGGGGTCGGACGCCAGCGCGGCCACCTCGTCGGCGTGCCTCGCCGCAACGCTGGCGGACCAAGGGCCGCCGCCGACGCCGCCGTCGTCGTAGCCTCGCACCGCTGGCGGCCGCCGCCGCCGCCGCCGCCGCCGCCGCCGCCGTCGTCGTCGTCGTCGTCGTCGTCGTCGTCGTCGTCGTCGTCGTCGTCGTCGTCGTCGTCGTCGTCGTCGTCGTCGTCGTCGTCCACGTCGCCGTCCACGTCGCAGCCGCCGTCAACGTCCCTATCGTCGCCGCCGCCGCCGCCGCCGCTGTTGGCGCCTCCGCCGCCGCCACCGTCGTCGTCTGGCTTTCGGGAGCCCCGCGAAGCCAGAACACCGCCGAGAACCAACGAAAACGCAAGAAACGCCCAGAGCCCCGTCGTGGTCCCCTGACATCCACCGATCTGATTTGTCCAGTCCGCGGCCCCCGACGTCCCGACCCCTTCCCTGAAGGTAGCTTGTCGTCCCGGATCCATATGTGATTGCCCCACGGCCCGAGAAGGGGCCCCAGACACCGAAATCTAAAAATGTTCAGATTTTGTGACACCAGAACTCGGCAGCGACCCTTGGGGAAAGTGAGAAGGGGCATGCTTCTCAGAAATCTCGGAAGGCTAGGGCCTTCTGAGAAGTGCCCCGAGCCTCCCCCGAAGACGCAAAAAACTTCTCGGAAGGCAGGAGGGCTTCTGGGAAACTCGCCGCCTTCGAAAAAGGCCTGCTCTTTCTCATTTCCCCCCCGGACGCGCCGCCGAACATCGTCGGAGGAGAGGGGAAGGAGGAGGGGGAGGGAGGAAGAGGAGGAGGGGGACGAGGAGACACGACTCACATGCCATCAGCTCGCAGCTCACAGGAGAAGGGGGGGGGGGAGGACGCTGAGGACGAGGAGAGGGAAGAAGAGGAGGAAAACGCTAAGGAGGAGAAGAAGGAGGAGGAGGAGGAGGACGAGGAGGAGGAGGAGGAAAAGGAGGCTGAGGAGGCGAGGATCTGGGCCGACGCGCCTGGATCCGCCAGCGGGGCCGACGGCGCCCAGCGCGCGGGCGGCGGCCGCGCGGACGGCACCGCGCGGGTGCCGCAGTTGCCCGGCAAGGGCGGACACCTCCGCGGCCGGCAGCCTCGGCCCGAGGGCGCCGAGGGCCTCAGCGAGCATCGTGTCACCGATCATCAGTGGCAGCAGCAGCAGCAGCATCATCATCATCATCATCATCATCATCATCATCATCATCATCATCATCGTCGTCGTCGTCGTCGTCGTCGTCATCATCATCATCATCATCATCATCATCATCATCGTCATCATCATCATCATCATCGTCGTCGTCATCATCATCATCAACATCAGCATCATCATCATCAACAGCAGCAGCATCAGCATCGTCATCATCGCCCACATCATCAGCAGCAGCAGCATCATCAGCAGCAGCATCATCAGCAGCAGCAGCCGCAGCATCATCACCAACAGCTGCAACGTCAGCATCATCATCATCAGCACCACCATCAGCATCGGCATCATCAACATCACCATCACCATCACCATCACCATCACCATTAGCATCCGCACCAGCAGATCCATCAGCAGCACCATCATCACCAACAGCATCACCATCATCAGCACCAGCATGAGCATCATCATTACCATCATATTCACCATCAGTTTCGAGCATCATCATCATCGCCAGCATCACCGTCAACATCAAAAACATCATCACCATCATCATACATCTCATTAGATGGACCATCATCAGCAGCATCAGCATCAGCAACACTAACAACACCATCATAATCCTCACCATCGTCACCACCATCATCACCAGCATGACTGCCATCACCATCATTACCATCATCAGCATCACCACCGTCATCACCATCATCGCCATGGTGGCCGCCACCAGCGGCAGCAACAGCAGCATACTCATACCCATGTTCATCACCATCATCAGCGTCACCACCACCATTACCATTCACATCATCATCATCAGCATCATCACCACGGCGATGGCATTTGACGAAGAAGCCGTCGAAAAGAAATCCAGGGTCTGGAAGCCAATGGAAAGCCAACCGTGACTTGGCCATGGATATCGCCGCCGTCCTCATCAGATTCGGAATCCCCCAGGGTCTGAAGCCTCCTCGGAACATTTCTATCACAATCACCAGCACCAGCCACCATCATCATCATCATCATCATCATCATCATCATCATCATCATCATCATCATCATCATCATCATCATCATCATCATCATCATCATCATCATCATAAACATCCCCGCTGGCGCGGCCTTTGCCCCACTGGCCGGCCTATCCCCACCTGGATAAGCAGGGATGCGCGACGCATGCCTGGCCCCTCGCGCGTCGCAGGGCCCATCCTCACCTAGGAGGGCGGGCTGGCGGAGCTGAAAAAACATGGCCCAGCCGGTATCAGGGTCCTATTTTGAACGAAAAGCAATCCAAACGGATTGCTTTTATCCCGCCACGCGCTTGCGATCGGGCATCGGGCGGAGGCCGTGGCCGGCGCGCGCGGGGGGGCGGGAGAGCATTCTCCCGCCCCGCGCTTGCGACCGGGCTTCGGGCGGAGGCCGCGGCTGGCGCGTTGGGGGCCCAACGGCGCCGCTCAGCAGCGCGCTGAAGAGCGCGCGCAGCAGGTGGCGCCGCCAGCCCCGGGAAAGGGAAGCAGAGCGAGGGGGGGGGGGGGCGAGAAGAAGCTGCAGCAGCCCAGGCGCGCGCGAGGAGGGACAATATGAGAGAGAGCGCCCCCCCGCCCTGCGCAGGCGATCGGGCTCCGGGCCGAGGCCGCGGCCGGCGCGCGCGGGGAGGCCAAACGGGCCCGAGCCCCCGGCGCGAGCGCGGGCCGAGCGGCGCCGTTCAGGAGAAGAGATTGTGCTGCGCGACGAAGGGCACTTCCAGCCATGCCCACGCTCGAAATGCCCGCGCACAGACGAGGCTCTGGCGGGCAGTCGGAATTTGCGAAGACCACGGAGAGGGGGCCGCGGCAAGAAAGGAAGCGACAAGGCGGTCGCTAGCGGCAGCAGAGCACGCAACGCGCGGCCGAGCTAACGCGGGAGGGCGGGCGCGACGGACGAAGCGGCGGCGGCATGGAGATAGCGCTCCGCTCCAGAAGCCTGGCGCCAGCGGCCGCGCCAGGAGGCGCGAGGAACGTTGTCTGTGGCCACATAGACGCCCGTCGCCCCTGAACCTCGCAAACAAGTAGCAGCGAGGATCAGCCCGCAGGCTGCGCTGGATAGCGGGGCGCCCATGGATTCCACCGCGCGCGGGAGGCGCTCTGCCCGAAGGGCGCAACAGGACAGGCGGAACACAAGTGCTGGAACACCAGTTCCAGGGGCCCAACCGACGACCTGTCGGAGCGGCGGGCGCGCCGCGTCGGATAGGCGCGGCGGGTCTCTGACGCCTTCGTGGCAAGGAAGGCATTGCCGCTGGGCTCCGACCATATCGCCAGGTAGCCAAAGGTCGCAGCGTCGGGCTGCCAGCAGTTCGCCGGGGCGGACGAACATAATAAAACCCCTGAGCAGCAAATCTGCCATCGGCGGCCAGCCCCAGAGCACGCCGAGACCAGCCATCGCCCGAAGTAGGGCGCGAGGCAACGGGCGGAACGCAGAAAGTTCAGCGAGCTTCCACTGCCTGGCCGCGCCCCAGGCTTTCGAAAGGAAAGCGCACCAGCGCGGGCGCTCAGCTTGAATGAACACACTGGCAAGCACTAAGATATAGCGCGGGAAGGCCGCATCGCGAAGCCACGCGCCGAAGATGGCAAGCAACCACGCGAGCAGAAGCCCGCCGCGATAATGCGCGACAGAAGCGATGCGATAATGCTCCGCGAGCCAGAGCTCGAAGGCGTCCACAGACTTCGAGCGCCGATCCAGGTAGAAAGACACACGGCGAGAGCCACGCGCGCAAGAAGTGCGAGGGGCACGAGGACGGGCAAAACTGTGCCCCGGGCTCGCCCCCGCGGGAGGGCCGGTCTCCGCCGCGGCGGCGTCGGCGGCGGCAGGCGCGGCGGCTGCATGGGGCGACGCAGAGGCCGAGCGCGCGCCGCAGGGCCAGCCCCACTCGCGACGGCGAAGGAGCGATTCACCGCCGCACGGTTGCGCGAGATGCACCCGGCTCGCTCCCGCCTCGAGGCGAAGAACGGGGGGGGCTGAGACCCGCGGCCGTCAAACTCGACCCCCGAGTCGACGGCCGCGTCCAATCGCGCCTCCGCGAAAGGCGCGCCCGCCCCGAGGGCGACGCGGCGCGCGGACGCCTCCACCCCGGACGGCAACGCGTCTCCCGCTTCGACCAGGGCCCAATCGAACGGGTCGCAAACCCTCGCGGGCCACAGGAGAGCCGCAATATCGCGCGACTCTCCCGGCACCTCGCCGAAGGGGGCAGGCCCGCGGACGACTCCACCGCGACTGCGCTCGCACACGCGCCGCGCAGGCTTGGGGGGGCGCGCCGCGCGGACACCAATCCAAAACGGGAAAGTCCCGCCCAGACTGGCGCGCCGAGGGCAGCCCAGCACGGCGGCGACCGCCGCGGCCCGCCGGCGCCGGGCCACATTGTTCCCGAGGAGCGACGGCCTCGAGCGTGCGGCCATCGGGGGCGACGGCGCTCGCAGCGGGCTGCTCGTCGGGGCTCTCCACGGGACAAGCGCCGCTCGCCCGGAACAGGCGGCGGCGCTGCCGAGGGGCATGGGGGAAGCAGAGCAACGCCGAAGCGTCGTCTGCCTTGTCGGGCCCAGCTGGCGCGAACCAACGGAGCCGCAACGCGGCGCTCTGAAACGCGTCGCCCCAGGCCCGCAACCGGCGGGCGATGCCCTGTGCGCGCCCGCAGCGCGCGGCGGTTGCGCCGACACCGCGGGCGAATCTCGAGCGGGCCGCCGGACGCGCGGGCCGCGTGAGCCGAGGCCGCGAGTTCGGGCGGGGAGTGGCCGGCTGGGCCACCTCCTGGCGCTGGGGCTGCGGGGGCGCTCCCACCCCCGCCGGCGGCGCGCCCTGGCGACCGGGAGGCTCCCTGGGCCGTGGCAGCATCGCCGCAACGGAACGCGCCTGCCGGCGGCAGAGGGGGCGCTGCCCCCGACTGCAGAATCGGCTCAGCTTCCGAAGCGAGAGCCCGCGCACGAGACCGGGATCGCCGAGCAGGCCGCGGCGGGAACGCCGCTGGCGGCCCGCCCGCCTCCCCGCCCTGGCCCCGCGGCCCGAGGCGAGAGCGCGGGGGCCGGCTCGCGCTGAAGATCTTGGCGAGGGCCGCTCTGGGATCAGAGGTTCGCGCGAAGCTCTGCCCATCTCCCCCGCGGTTCGATTCGCGGCCTCGCGCCCCGCCAGCGGCGGTGCGCGGAGCTTGCGGGGTCGGAGGAGGCGGTCGCCCTGCGCCGGCACCGCCGCGGCGGCCTTGGCGCGAGCGGCGCAGCTAGCCCCGCGCGCGCGGACCTGCTCCGACCGCGGGGCCCCCGCGCGCAACTGGGGCCAGGTGGCCGCGGGCCAGGGCGAGGCGCGGCCCGCGGGCGCCAGGTCACGTTCGGGAGCTGCAGGCGCGGGGGCCGCGGCTTCGGCCAGAAGGTCCGCCCGGCGACCCGCGCGCCGCGGGCGGCGAAGAACTGCGCGCGGGCGGCGGGGGACCCGGAGGCCTGCCGGGCGAAGGCCCCAGGAGGAGGGCCCGGGGGGGTCCGCGGGCCGGAAGGCCACGGGCCGCCTCCGCTGGGCGCAGCAGCAGAACTGGCACCCTCCGACGTCGCAAGGGGCGCGAGGGGGCGCTCCAGCGGAGCCAGGGGCCCGGGGGCGTCCTGCCCTCAGCCATTCGCCAGCTGATAACTAATGCGGCACAGCAAGAAATCCTGTCCAACACGCTGAGTACTGGAGGAGATGCTCTAACAGCGACTGTTCGCCACCGTGGCAACTCTGAATGCCCCATGCGCCTCGTCCCAACTGATGTTAGGGGAGCGCGTTTCTTTATTTTCGGCGACAGTGGGCGTTATAGGGGGGGGCGCGGGGGGGGTATGACGTAACGGCCCCCCCCGCTATGTGGCTCCGGCACCACAAGAGCCTTCATGTCCGGGATAGCGGCCGTCATCGGCCCCGCCCTTCCCCCCTGATGACGTCACGTTCCGCACCGGCGGAGTCGAGGAATGCCTACGGATGACCAAGGCCAAGTAGGAGCAGCATGTGGGTGGCGATCTGCCCCCCAACGCCTGTGTACACCACGGTGCTCGCGTGCACCACAGCGCGCGTGTACATCACAGCGCCTGCGTACACCGCAACAGCCGTGTGCAACGCAGCGCCCGTGTACACCACAGTGCTTACACCACAGCGACTGTGTACA